GCCATTGTCCGGACACAAAAGATCTATATTAACTGCAAAAGGCCTGGCCGGGCGCCAGGAACCCTCCACATTCCAGACACACAATAAGCCTTCATCAGAATTTCCTCCCGTTCTCAATGTGTTTGTTATTATTCTTAAGGCCTCGCTCGTTGTCTGACGGTCTCGACCTGTGGCCGGGCCAAACCTACCGCTCGCTATTCTTTCGCCACATAAAGGGCACGGACGCCAAAAACACAATAGAGCCGTGTTCGGCCCCTACACATAAAGAAAACGTCGGCTCGAGCAGTGAATGAGGTCTGATTAAGCCTCGCACTCCCTGGGATATTTATAGGGCAGTTGCACTTACTGGCATTGTCCTGTGGGTATCAACCGAGTCCATCAGTGATGGAAACGGGCCCAAAATGGTAACGTCTGAGGCAATGCGGTAATAATAATCCTTGCGATTCCTCCTGCGACTTAGCACGACGATTCTCCTTCACGCCCTGGCATCCCCCCCACCACCCCACCCGTATCTGTCACCCAAACGTCTCTCTCTCTCTCTCTATACCGTGGAGTCCTGCAGCTCGGTGGTTAGAGCCCTCGCCTCGCAAGCGAGAGGATCCGGGGGTAATAATCCCTTAAAAAAAAAATTGGGTCACTCGATCCACGACTGTTTGTGGGGACACTGCTGTGCGCAATCGACTGCCGCGTTTCGCCCACAAAGTATACAGTCACTGCGCTTTACATTTATATTCATCCCATCAACTGCCGTGGAATTGAGTGACCAAATTATTATTTTTTTATTTTGAGGAAATTATTATCCCCGGGAAAAGGAATTATTACCCCCCACCTCGCCAACCGACTAACAACCGGGTTCCTGCCGACTGCTGGGGCAGAGGCGAATGGAGTAAGGAAACTTGCCCAACATTTTGCCCTCTGCCCAGGAATCAAACCCAGGTCCTCTCGCTTGCTCTAACCACTGAGCTACAGGACTCCGAGGAAGGTTGGATGGATCGAGGCTTCTTCCTGTAGAGAGGACAGGTAGAGAGAGAATTTGGAAGGATAATAATAATTAATAACACTCCAGAAACCCATCACCATGATTAAGAGGATCCAAACTAAACTGAGAGGTTCCCACACATATCCACCTACACACTGAAATTCCGCTGTGTGTGAGAAGGAATGTACACTCTCTCCCTGGAGAGCCACACGCCCTACTAACCGAAGCAAAGGCAGCAGCCAATTTACGCACAGCCATGTCGCGCAAACAGCCACGAGGTGAATGACCGATTTAGTCACAAACAGCCCTTGCGTTTGTTCCAGCGCCTTTATCACGCCGGTGAGACGTCTCAAAGCGCTTCGCAGGATGCACTGTAAACTGAAGTGACTGTGTGTTCGGTGGGCGAAACGCGGCAGCCGATTGCGCCCAACGACATCCCCTCAAAGTCGTGGATTGGAACGAGCGACCAATTTTATTTGGGGAGGTTGTTAATTCACCTTACAGCACATCCTGTGAATCTTTGAGACGTCTCGAAGACGTGATGAGGCGCTGGATCAAATGCAAGGATTATTATTATTGCTATTTTCTAATTTATTTCTCAACGGCAACTGGTCTGTCTCTCTCTCTCTTCCTGCTCTGGCCTTATCTATAATATAATTAGCCCTGCGGCATTGTAGTATTGTGTAAATACAAGTTGCACATTTAGTTATTAGTTATCCCATTCTGTGATTGTTATTATTAACCTTAAATCCGTCTACTACCCCAGGAATCAAATGGACATAAAGCGACAGCTCTGACATTGTGTTTTGCACAGAAATTTATAACTTTCCCCATCCTCTTCCCAGAATTTGACTCAATGCAATTGAATTGTCTGTTCATCTCATTGTTGTCTGTTGAACACAGTGTGTCTACCTCTGCAATAACAATACAAAATAAAGTGAGCGTTAAATAGAGTCAGCCTGGCTCACTGGTAGTGCTCTCTCTTTCTCTCCTGTGAGTCAGAAGGTTGTAGGCACAAGCCACACACGCTCCAAACCTGTGCCTAATACTCCCTGGAATTAGATAAACCAGGTGTGCTCCCCAGGGAGAGAGTGGGATTCCATTCCACAGGGAAATTTCCCTGGTGTAGGTGACCTACGTATGTGGAACTCTCAGTCTGGCTTGAATACTCATGGTGATGGACAACCATAAAAAACAAGATGGACAGTGCTATGGTCAGCTTGACCACTGAGTACCTTTATCCTCTAATCCGGGTTTGATTCCCGGGTGGGGCAAAACCTTCAGCAAGTTTCCTTACTCCACACACACACACACATACACACACATGACGCAGAGCGATTGTCTTTGAGATGTTATGGGATGTTATGTTGCAGCCAAATTTCGCACAGCAATTGTCCCACAAACAGTCGTGGATTTAGTGGCCAATTCAGTGAACGTTTTGCCCGCCCGGGATTCGAACCCAGGTCCTCTCGCTTCGAGCTGAGTGCTCTAACCCCTGAGCTCCAGGACTCCACAAGGCAAGGCTTATTATAATTCTTATTCTTTCTGGTCATTGAAACATAAGTGGTCCTGGAGGCAGTGCAGAGGAGAGCGATACGGATCCTTATGGGGGTGGAATGACGTCTCAAAGCGCTTCACAGACTATACTGTAAAGTGGAGTGACCGTGTGTTTCGTGGGCGAACCTCGGCAGCCCATTGCGCACAGCAGCGTCGCCACAAACCGTCGTGGATTGAGTGACCGCATTATTGTTTGTACCGAAAGAGTAGAACGGGAGGACACGGGTTTAGGATCGCAAAGGGGGCAATTTCAAGTCAGACGCCAGGAGGTTTCTTTTTAAACCGAGAAGATAATTGACGACTGGAACGAGGTTATCAGGAAAGGGTGGTTGAGGCCGGGATGGTGGGAGTTGTTTATAAAACTGCCTGATGCTGTGATGGGACAGAAAAGGTGAGATTCCTGTAAAAATCAGATAACATTTTTTCCAGTACACCCGCCCTTCTGTCCCATCACGTCGCAAGCTGCGTGTGTGTTTTTTTTATATAAACGAGTTTAAAATTTAACATCCATCTGAACAGGTACAGACAAGACCTCGTTTAACATCTCACCCGAAGGGTTATGATAATAATCCTTGCATTTGATACCGCGCCTTTTCACGTCTTCGACACGTCTCAAAGCGCTCCCCACGTGGAGTGACTGCGTGTTTTGTGGGGAGCCAACTGCGCACAGCAGCGTCCGCACAAACAGCCGTGGATCGAGTGACCGAATTATTATTATCATTATTTATTTTGAAGGGATTATCGGCCACCGGAAAAGCCATCGGCCAATCGACCTACTGCCAGGTAAACAGAGGTGCGCGTGTGGCGTAAGTAAACTTACGACCTGTCCTTCTGCCCAATGTTTCGTCCGGTCCTGCCGGGGAATCGAACCCAAGACCCGCTGGATTTACAGCCGCAGGGTTAAGGAAATGCAGAATTGTTCGCTCTGTGCGCTATCTTTTGCTAAAGGCTCTCTTTATTCCTCAGTGCTGTACCCGATTTGAAGTGGCCCATTGTTCTGTGTTTAGATATGGTCTTCCCATGTAGCTCGGAGACAACAGATGGTATCTTCTCTCCAAACTGTGCAGTGTTTGACGAGCGCTCAAATCGGATGCGTTGACAAGTCAAGGCGCCTGGTGCTTCTGATGTGACCATTGTTTGTTTCTCCTCCGGCACACGTACAGGTAAACAAAAACCAAATAAAACGTCGCTCTATCAAGATTCGAGCGATTCCATCTACGTGCTTGGCCAGCGAGCTGCTGAACTCCAGGCGCAGCCCACACTCCGACAGGAAATGGGGGCACGAAACTCAACGATCACTTGCGATTTTTTTCATGCAGGGGAGCGTCCCAGAAGTTGCTCTGGACAGTGGCGGAGTCGGACCCCGAGCCGCGGGGAGAGGGAGGGGGGGGGAGGTGACCGTCAGCACAATCCAAATCTAGGAGTGGGGGAATGATTGGTTCAGGGGATTTTTGTTTGGTCGGCTGCGTGTCCGACACACACGGAAACCCGTCACCGTGACCGGCCGCGTGTCCGACGCACACGGAAACCCGTCACCGTGACCGGCCGGGTGTCCGACACACACGGAAACCCGTCACCGTGACCGGCCGCGTGTCCGACACACACGGAAACCCGTCACCGTGACCGGCCGCGTGTCCGACACACACGGAAACCCGTCACCGTGACCGTCCGCGTGTCCGACACACACGGAAACCCGTCACCGTTGCTTAAGAGTCTCCAAACCAAATGAGAATTCCCCACAGACCCCCCACACCCGGAAACCCCAGAGAGAGATGGTCGGAGTGGAATGCGCTCTCTTTCTCTCTCTCTCTCTCTCCCTGCTCACCTAATTCCGGAGAATATTAGGCGTAGGTTGTCAAGAGCCAAGGCTTGGAGGGGGGGGGGGGAGCCCAGAGTGTGCGTTGGGGGGGGGGGGGAACTGCTGGAGGCTAACCAGCTAAACCCACAAAGCTTGCCATTGAGAGCGCTGTCTGGCAAACTTGTTTCACGTGTCACTTAACAGGAGTGACACCTGATATGACAAGCCTGAAAGTGTAAGAATTTAGAAGCGATTTTCTTCTTAGAAAACGTCCTTCTGAATTAGAGGGCTTCAAAATTTAGCGATTTTCCAAAATTCTGCATCTTAAGACAAAATGGGTTTCAAGGCTAACACGGGGCGAAATATTCAGCCGGGGCGAAAGCTTTGGCCAGTTTCCTTACTCCCGGTTTCCCAGCAGTGAGTAGGAACCCGGTTGTCAGCCGATTGGCTGATCGCTTTCCGGGGGTAATGATCCCTTAAACAACAACAAAAATTTGGTCACTCAATCTGCCACGTTGTGCCCACAGTCACTCCACTTTACAGCGTCTCCTGTGACGCGCTTTGAGACGTCTCGAAGACGTGATGAGGCGCGGGGTCAAACGCAGGGATTATTATTACTGTATAAACACAAGGGCGCAGATTTCCATACTGTAGACTAGAGAATGATAAGTTACAATGGCCTTTATTGTACGGAAGTCACAGTCACTGATATGTCTCGGTGTCTGGCAGTCAGGAGCTGGAAACTCCTCTCTTGCTCTGTGTCTCACTCTCAGGAGCTAATTCTGGAGAGTTAGTCTTGCCGTTAACTAAGATGGGGGTGAAAGGGCTCTGTGGTTTCACAAGATCTGATCGAATGTTTTGGAAGAAACATGACTCATGAAATGGAGAACACAGGGTTTCTCTCTCCCGGTGACTAATCACTGGTTCCTGACGTTAGGAATGCTTATTCTCTTGCAGTAAATTGTTCAGTGAGATAAGGAGTGACTTTTCCACCTGGCCTGTCTCGTGGGGATAGATATGTTGTGGGGAAACGAGACAATTTCACTGACCGCTGAGCGAGTTGGGCATCCGTTTGCTTTGCTCCGCATCCTCTTTTTTGGCAGGGTTTTGTTTCTGGCGCAAGACATCAAGTAAACAGAGAACAATAAAAGAACAATCCTCGCGTTTGATACAGTGCCTTTTCATGGTCGTTGAGACGTCTCAAAACGCTTCGCAGGATGTGCTGCAAAGTGAAGTGACTGTGTATTTTGTGGCCGAAACTCGTTGGCCAATTGCGCACAGCAGTTGCGGACTGAGTGACCAAATAATTATTTTTAAAGAATTAAATGCTTGAGTACCCGTGACTGTGCGGGTGATTACGTCCTGGAGCTCAGTGGTTAGAGCGCTCGCCGCGCAAGCGAGAGGCCCTGGGTTCGAATCCTGGGCACGGCAAAACCTTAGGCAAGTTTCCTTACTCCGCGCACACGCCTCAGTTTGCCTGGCAGTAAGTAGGAACCTGGTTGTCAATCGATTGGCGGATCGCTTTTCCGGGGGTAATAATCCCTCTAAAAGAATAATAATTCAGTAATGATTCTGAAGAATACAGAGTCATTTGGGGGAGTCAGTCCACGACTGGGTGTGTGCGTATCGTGATGGTATAGCACATCCACCGCACATTTGAATGTGTCTTTCCTCCCTTTTTGTTTGGTCAGCGGGGTGTCTGACACATGCGGAAACCCATCACCCATGCTTAAGAATATCCGAACCCACCCGGGAATCTTTCAATCACCAACCACAAACATTTCGCAAAGCAAAACACAAGAAGACATTGCCAAGTTGCCACCTCCAGCCCAGCCATGAATGGTATCAATGCTCTCTGCTCCTCCTGTCTGTCTCACTCAGGGGTTTTACCCGGTTACACTCCACCAGTTACCCCCGACGCACCCTCTGGGCTCCCCTCCCCACCCCAAGCCTTGGCTCTCGCCAACCTGCGCTTAATACTCTCCGGAATTAGATAACCAGGGTGCATTCTTCCAGGGAGAGAGAGAGCGAGCACATTCCATTCCAACCATCTATCTCTGGAATATCCAGGTGTAGGTGAGATGTGGGGAGTTCTCAGTTGGGTTTGAAGACTCTTAAGCCACGGTGATGGGTTTCCACGTGTGTCAGTCACACGTGGGCAGAAACAAGTCTCACTCAGGCTGATGTGTGGGGACTTGGATGAGGATACTGCCACCTAGTGCAGTTACCGGAGACTGGAATAATCTCGGCAGTGAACGGACCCACCGCTTTCATCATGGAAGGTGAATGGCATTGTGTGATTGTTTTGGTCAACCAGGTGCCCACATCAACAACAACACATTACATTTACACATCGCCTTTCACTTCAGGATGTCCCAAGGCACTAGACAGTCTGGGATTTGGAACCGAGCTGGGGGTTGGATCAGGATGGGTGGAGGTCAGGGAGATAGTGGGGGTAGGAGGGTGACTGAAGGAATGCTAGAAGAGCAAGGTCTTGAGACAGACCTTATAATAATAACCGTCCTTACATTTAACGCAGCATCTCATCACGTCTTTGAGACGTCTCAAAGCGCTTCACAGGATACACTGTAAAGTGAATTGACTGGATATTTTGTGGGCAAAACGCGGCAGCCAATTGCGCACAGCAGTGTCCCCACAAACAGTCGTGGATTGAGTGACCCTATTCTTATTTTTTTTTGAAGGGATTATCACCCCCGGAAAAGTGATCCGCCAATCGACTAACAACCGGGTTCCTACTTACTGCGCGGCAAACAGGCGCGTGCGTGGAGTAAGGGAACTTGCCCAACGTCTCATCCTACCCGGGAATCTGTGAAGCGCTTTGAGACATCTCGACAACGTGATAAGGCGCTATGTCAAATGTAAGGTTTATTATCATTTCTATGGTCACTGACCATTGCCTCCCCACACACTGGACAGCCCCCACCACAGACAGTCCCCTCTACTCTCGTAGTCACCCCCCAACCCAAACCACACCTTGGATAGCCAGCCACATAATATTATTTTATAAGGCTTATTATTATTATTATCATATTCCACTTCACTGCTTTCCTGCTGTTCAGAAGAGATTTGAACGGAGGGAGCGGACAGGTCGATATGGAGTTAGCTGGTGGGGGATGCGAGGCCGTGGAGGGCTTTGAAGGCAAAGACGAGGATCTTGAACTCTATCCTCGGGGGATGGGGAGCCAACGGAGCCGGGCGAGGATGGGGGTGATGGGGTCACGGAGCCTGGTGCGGGAGAGGACACAAGCTCTCGGAGTTTCGGATAAGTTTCTACACAGAGCAAATGCTGTCTCCTCACCACTCTCTATATTTCTCCCCCACAACACGAGCTTAGGGTCCATTCTCTCAAGACAGAATCAGCCGTAACGTGAAATAAAACTCAACGAAGGCTCCCGCCACCTTCCCTCCGCCCAAAGCCCCTCCCCTCCTCGCTGGGCTACAGACCCCCAACATGGTCTCCAAGGTCATCCTCCACCACACTGCCCACTCCCAGACGTTCGATGCAGTCCTGGGTGGTCTTGAGGACAATCTGTAGCCTGCGATCCAGAGCCAGTAGGTGGGGCTCGATGAGAATGGGATCCATCCTGTCTCTGCTCAGGGACTCACGCATCACATCACTGAGCCGGTATCTCTCTGTGGCCAGCAGCTGGAGTCGGGAGTACGTACTCCTTTTTATCCTGAAACAGGAACCCCAACATAAAGGATGACAGTCACTCCAGCGGGTCCTGTAGCTCAGTGGTTAGAGCACTCGCCTCGCGAGCTGGGTTTGATTCCCAGGCAGGTCAGGGAGAAACGTTAGGCACGTTTCCAGCATTGCGCCCGCCCGCCCCCACGCACGCGCACGCCTCTGTTTACCCAGCAGTGAGTAGGAACCCGGTTGTTAGCTGATTGGCCGATCACTTTACAGAGGGAAATAATTCTTTCAAATTAAAAACAAAAATAATAAATCGGTCACTCAATCCATGACTGTGCGCAATTGGCTGCCACGTTTCGCCCACAAAATATACAGTCAATTCACTTCACAGCGGATCCTGTGAAGCGCGTTGAGACTTCGCGAAGATGTGATAAGGCGCTGTATCAAATGCGAGGATTATTATTATTACTATTATTATTTGCTGAGCAGACAATTGCGCACACAGGGTAGTGACCAAATTATTATTGCCGAGGCTCGAATTCTTGATAGCCAGACTCTGGTAACTGTAATAATAAAAGCAATAACAATAACAATAATAATAGTGATGGCGGGTGGACCTTGACAACAGTTTGAAGGGCTCTGTATAAATATACAAGTTTTCGTTGTATCTCATCCCACTCTACTGCTCACTTCCTATAACCTTTAACGTCCTGGTTTGTAAGAATCTGTTCGATTTCCCTTTGGGAATTTATGGAAAGGCGTTCGGCAAAGAATTGCACAATCTGTAATCGTCAGGGAGAGAGTGAGAGAGAGATAGAGAGACTGAGAGAGAGAGAGGTGGGGGGAAAGGGGATGTGTACCTGCAACACTGCTGGAGAGGAGCCAGGATGGATAATTCATCATACGAGTGCCTCCCAAACCTTAGAACATGACCAGAAAGTGATGTGTTATAATCATGTTGTATAATAATCTGTGTCTGAAGGTCAGCCTGCCAGGCTCAGTGGTAGCGCTCTCTCTCTCTGTCCCTCTGTCTCTGTCCCTCTGTCTTTGTTCCTCTGTCTCTGTCCCTCTGTCTCCGTCCTCTGTCTCTGAGTCAGAAGGTTTGTGGGTTTAAGCCTCACACGTCAGGACTTGGAATCACAGTCTAAGCTGAGGCTCCAGTGCAGCGCTNGGGGGGGTTTCATTGTCGGAGACACCGTCCCTTCGGATGAGACGTTAAACCTCACCCCCCGTCTGCCTGTTCAGGGGGACGTTAGAGATCTCTCGCTGCGCTGAGGGGGGAAGAGAAGGGAGTTTCTCTCTCTCTCTCTCCCCCCGGTGTCCTGGCCGACAATCCCCGGGATAAAATTGGTCGCTCACTCCACGACTGTTTGTGGGGACGTCGCTGGGGGCGCAATTGGCTGCCGTGTTCCGCCCACAAAACACAGTCAATTCACGTTACAGTTGGTCCTGTGAAGCGTTTTGAGACGTCTCGATGATGTAATTAGGCGCTGTGTCAAGTGCAAGGATTATTATTAATCATTATTATAATTTATTATTATTGGTTGTTATTATTTGTTTTGTCTTATTTGTTATTATAGCCCTCTGTGATTATTATTAGGATTATTAAAGCCCTAAGTGATTATTATTATGATTATTATTATGATTATTATCGCTCTAGGTTCTGTCCAGAAGCTGCTCACCCTCTGCCATTGTCCAGGTGAATGAGGAAGGTTTCGTTCTCAAACTTCTGGAAGGTCTCATAGTGATGTCGGTCCATGTTCCCTACAGAGGCCACAAAGCAGGAGACAGGGTTAGTTACTTGAGCGGAGAGACAGATAATAATAATCATTTTATTCGATATAACGCCTCCGCCTGAATCTACTGCAACACTAGCATAGGGCAGTCGAGGATATACTTTTTTTAAAAATTGGGTCACTCACTCCACGACTGTTTGTGGGGATGTCGCTGGGGGCGCAATTGGCAGTTGCGTTTCGCCCCAAAAATACACAGTCACTACACTGGACAGTGTATCCTGTGAAGCGCTTTGAGACATCTCGAAGATGTGATAAGACGAGGATTATTGTGGTTATATACATTTCGCCCACAAATATACAGTCAATTCACTTTACAGCATATTCTGTCTTAGAAGACATAAAAAATGCTAAATCAAATGCAGGGATTATTATATTATTATTTGTACACACACCACTCACAACACTCGTGCATTCACACACAGACACTGTCACACACACACACAGTCGTGCTCTCACCCATCAGGAAGTCCAGGATGGTCATGTCTATGACCTCGAGCAGCCGAGTCCCTTTGTCATACGGAGGCGTCTTTTTGACATGAGCGCAGTAATCTGGATTTATCTCCCACCTGAAATAAAGAGCCCGAGAGACAGACAGACAGACAGAGAGAGAGACGGTGACACACAGTGTCTACAAATTATAATAATAATCTTTGCATTTGATACAGCGCCTCATCACGTCTTCGAGACTTCTCAAAGCGCTTCACAGAAATACTCTGTAAAGCGCAGTGACTGTGTGTTTTGTGGGCGAAACGGGGCAGCCAATTGCGCACAGCAGCGACCCCACAAACATTTGATTTATATGTTTTTTTATTGAGGGATTATTAACAGGCGCACGTGTGTGTGTGTGTGTGTGAGTGTGTCTGTCTGTGAGTGTGTGTGTCTGCGTGGAGTAAGCCCAAGGTTTCACTCCCTGCCCGGGAATCGAACCCAGGTCCTCTCGCTTGCGAGGCGAGTGCTCTAACCACTGAGCTACCATCATCCTACTCTTCCCCTCCCTCCTCCCCCCACCCCACCCCACCACACACACACACACTCCCCACCCCCAGTGCCCTCTCACTTGGCCTTCTTCCTCTCATGATAGGAGCGTCTCCAGGGGTTCCTCCAGGTCAGTCTCTTGGAGAGCTTGATGTCGGGCAGGTAGGCAGCCATCGAGCCCTCTAGTGCATTGGGCTTCCCGCACAGCGCGTGCTCCATACTGCAGTAATAGGAACAGTCGCCGTAGAAGCACACGTTCTTTGCTGCAACACAAGAACATCATCACACTCTCTGCTCACGAGGCAAAACCCCGCGGACGCTGGAAATCTGGAGTCCTGTAGCTTAGATGAGGAGGGTCTTGAGACAACAACTTGCGCTTATATAGCGCCCTCCACGCAGGGCGGCGACTCAGAGCACTTAACAATGGCGGAGACTGACTCCGAGCCGGGGGGTGGGTGGGTGGGGGGGGGGATAGACCGGCCTTGAAGGAGGCTAGGGACGGGGTGAGGCGGAACTCCGGGATGGAGTTAGAGAGAGCATCTCAAAGCGCTTTGCAGGATACACTATAAAGTGTGGTGACTGTGTATTTTTTTTTGCAGGCTGAGAAGGAAGATAGTATCACACAGCTGGTGGGACTAACCACTCACTCGTACTCATGTGGGGGTGGGACAAGTGAGTATATACACCCAACCGCCTCACCCCCCCCCCCCCACCCCCTTCGTGATGAGCGGACTGAAGTCCCAACCCACTCGCTCCCCCACCCCCCCGCACCAGCCACCCCTTTGCCGGTACCGGGCGAGATGAAGAAGGTTTTCTCCAGCTTGCGATCGCTGGTGATCTCTCGGATCTCCTTCACCATGTTGACAAGGCGGCCTGCCACCGGTGGAATACGCCGGAAGTCCAGGATCCTGTCAGAATAGAGAGGAGACGGGAGCTCAGAGGGCACCTAGCCTTGGGTCAGCCCCCCCACCCCCAATCACCTCCCTACCGCTCTCTCCCACCTACTTACACCCCAACCCACTACCCACTACCTCCGCTCGACTGGCTCCGGCCTCCTGCTTGTCCCTTGTGCCCCCCGTTCCATCATCAGCAGCCGCGCTTTCAGCCACTACGCAACGAAACTCTGTCACGCTCTCCCTCAATCCCCCCGTCTCTCCCAACGTTTCACTCCAGTCCGGGAAGCGAACCCAGGTTCTTTCGCTTGCGAGGCGAGTGCTCTAACCACTGAGCTACGGGACTCCACAAATCCACCAGCTCCCGAATTAAGCACAGGATCCGGATTTGGATCCAGGAAGACTTCTGTGTTGTGGAACTCTACCTCAGCAAGTCCTGGAGTTAAGGATGAATGCATAACGGATACAGAGAATGAGTCGCAAATCCTGAAGCCAAGAGGGAAAAGGAACAAGCAAACTGTCTCAGGATGAGATCAATAGGCTACCTAGCCTGATCAAAGCTCCTTTGAAGTCAGAGGATGTTGACAAGACACTGTTTGGGTATAAACATCCCAATTTATATCAGCACCAAAGAAGATTTAAAAAAAGATGATGCTAAATAGAGAGGCATAAAATATGCTTGTGGGAACTTGTGCCTAAATGGTCAATAGGAACATTCGCCTCACTATTCAAGGAATATCTGAGAAGCATTACAGATAATAATAAACCTTGCATTGATATAGCGCCTTTGGGACGTCTCAAAGCACTTCACAGGATACACTGCAAAGTGAAATGAGTGTGTATTTGTGGGCGAAGTGAAGCAACCAATTGCACACAGCGACGTCCCCACAAACAGCCGTGGATTGAGTGACCAAATTATGTCTTTTATATTAAAGGGATTATTACCCCCGGAAAAGCGATCCGCAAATCAACTAACAGCCGGGTTCATATTTACTGCTGGGTAAACAGAGGCGCGCGCGTGTGTGTGTGTGTGTCTGTGTGTCTCTGTGTGTGTGTGTGTGTGTGGAGTAAGGAAACTTGCCCAACATTTCGCCCCCTGCCCGGGAATTGAACCGGGGTCCTCTCACTTGCGAGGTGAGGGGTCTAATCCCTGAGCTCCAGGGACTCCACTGACCCGGGGGTTGGGGGAGGGGAGGTGACGTCAGGCACGGTCGAAGAGGAAGGTCGTCAGGCGCGACCTGAAGATGGGGAAAGAGTTAGAGAGTGACAGAGTTTTGGGGGCGCAGTGGCTGAAAGTGAGGCCACTGATGGTGGAACAGAGGGGGAAGGAGGGGTCGTGGCGGAGGTGGAGGAAAGCTGTCCTGGTCAGGGACCGGGTGTGGGGTAAGAAGGTGTTCTGGCAAACAATCCTCAAGACTGGAGTGGAGCAGAGAGTGAGTGGGGTATGTGTGTGGGGGTGGGAGGGAGAGTGTGGGGGTGGGGCGGCACAGTGACCGTTTACCTGTCCAGGTGAAAGGCAGCAATCTCAGCCGTATGACGCTCAAAATCAGAGAAGTAGAAGAGATCGCCAGACGTTTCCTGTTCCCGGGTCTGCCTGTGAGAGAGAGAGAGAGAGAGAGTAAAAACAGTCACTAACACACCAGAACCTCTCACAGCTCCTCACACGGGTGATTTCAAGCGCTCTAGACGCCATCGATTCCTGGGAGTTTCCTCACTCCACACGCCTCTGGTTACCTCGCAGTAAGTTGGAACCCTGTTGTTAGTCAATTGTTGGATCACTTTTCCGGTGATAATAATCCCTTCCAAAAAAAAGTGTGAATGGCGCTATAATAATAATCCTTGTATTTGATACAGTGCCTTATCACATCTTCGAGACGCCTTAATTTTCCAACAATCCTTTCTGCCTGAGAACAGACTTGATTCTTTTCCCAGACTTTTTTTTTTGTGTGGTCAAACATATTTGAGCCAAGTGCTAAGTGGTGGCTAAATATAGAAATAATCCTCGCCTTTGATACAGCCCCATATCACATCTTCGAGACGTCTCAAAGCACTTCACGGGACACACTGTAAAATATAGTGACGGTATATTTTGTGGGCAAAATGCGGTAGCCAATTGCGCACAGCAGCGTCCCAGAAACAGTCATGGATTGAGTGACTAAAATTATTTTTTTTTTTCGGAAGGGATTACTGTCACCGGAAAAATGAACCAACAATCGACTAACAACAGGGTTCCAACTTACCGCGAGGTAACCAGCGGCGTGTGGAGTGAGGAAACCGGGAATCAAAGCCAGAGGGAGGTGGGAGATGACCGTAAGCACGATCAAAATAATAATAATAATCCTTGCATTTGATATAGCGCTTTTCACGTCGGGAGGACGTCCCAAAGCGCTTCACAGAACACACTGTAAAGTGAATTGACTGTATATTTGTGGGCGAAACGCGGCAGCCAATTGCGCACAGCAATGTCCCACAAACAGTCGTAGATTGAAAATGACCAATTTATTATTGTTTTTGGTAAAAGGAAAGTCTTTAGGTGGGATTTGAAAGTGGGGGCGGGAGGGAGAGGGCAAAGTGGAGGGGTTGAGGGAGAGAGTTTCAGAGTTTCAGGAATAACACTCTTTGGCAAACGCCGGATGTAGGGCATGAAAGAGAGCTTCAGAATGGGCAAAGATTGCACACTGTCGCTGTGAGCTGGAGGAGTAATCAGGGAAGGCGATAGGGTCAGTGTCGGACAGGGGGCAGTGTGAGGGTTAGGGCTCAGGGCGGGGACGAGGTTTGAGTCTCACTCACTGACTTACTTCATTGGTTTAAACAGGACTTTGCCATAGTTCTCGAGCGTCATCACCAGTTTCAGCTGCGTCCCACCGTGCTTCTGAGCTGAAATAGAGCAGGACTCGACAAGCTGAGACCACAACTAGATCCACATAAGGATTCACTAGCACAGCAGTGGGAGAGGGCAGGACGCTATTTGAAAAGAGAAGGGAGTTTTTCTCTCTCTCTCGGTGTCCTGGCCAACAATCCCCCAAATAAAATCGGTCACTCACTCCACGGCTGTTTGTGGGACGCCGATGTGCGCAAAAGGATCCCGTGTTTCACCCACAAAACACACAGTCACTTCACTTTACAGTGTGTCCTGTGAAGCGCTTTGAGACGTCTCAACGACGTGATAAGGCACCGTATTAAATGCCGGGATTATTGGAGCACATTGATGGTGGGACCGTGACACTCTCTGGCCGAACGTGGGTACTGCAGAATGCAGAACCTTGTCCTTGTATTTGACAGGTCAACCATAGACCATCTCCGTCGGTGACTGCTGCCAAGTGTAGTGACTGTGTCTTTGCAGGCAACTGCAGGAAGGTCCCACAGACGCACAAGAGGTAAGCGACCAATTTTAATTGGGTGATTGGAGGCGTGAAGCTTGGCAACTCTGACAGTGTTAGACGATTGGCAGATCACTTTCCAGGGAGTAATAATCTCTCAAAAAAAAACAGCTGTGGTTTGAAGCCCCCATGTCAGGATTTAAACTCACACAGTCTAAGCTGAGGCTCCAGTACAGCGCTGGAGGTGTGTTGCATTGTCGGAGATGCCGTCCTTCGGATGAGATGTTAAAACCTCACCTCCGTCGCCTGATTTATGTTAAAGATCATTCTCTCTCTCTCTCTCTCTCTCTGTGTCCTGGCCAATAATCCCCCAAATAAAATTGGTCACTCGCTCCATGGATGTTCATGAGACATTGCTGTGCGCAAATTGGCAGCCGCATCTCACCCACAAAATGTACAGTCACTCCACTTAACAGTACGGCGCTTTGAGACACCTTGACAACTTGATAAGGCGCTATATCAAATGCAAGGATTTTGTATAATTCTAAGGTAACACCTGAAGTTGGAGTGTGACTAACAGGTAAGAAAAATGCATTTGATTTAGCGCCATATCAAGTCGTTGAGACGTCTCAAAGCGCTTCACAGAATATACTGTTAACTGAAGTGTCAGTCACTCCACATTACTGGGGAGTCCTGTAGCTCAGTAGTTACAGCACTCGCTTCGCAAGCGAGAGATCTGGGTTAGATTCCCAGAGGGCGAAATGTTGGGCAAGTTTCCTTACTACACACCCACACGCCTCTGTTTACCCAGCAGTAAGTTAAGTAGGAATCCGGTTGTTAGTCGATTGGTGGATCGCTTTTCCAGGGGGTAAATAATCCCTTCAAAAATAAATAAATAATAATAATAAAAAATGGGTCACTTCAATCCAGGACTGTTTGTGGGACGCTGCTGTGTGCGATTGGCTACCAATGATATACATCGATATATAATGCTATATTCTCACCAACCCTGACGATCTTCATGGTCCCGAGTTCCTGCAGTAAGGTCTCGATGTGGGGATTGTGGCGCGAGTACAGCTCATAGCGGTTGATCCCCATGTGGAACTTCATCCAGTTGGGATAAGTGTCAGCCGGACTGTCACCCGCCAGTAACACATACTCCAGCTCCTCCATACTGACCCTGATACGGGAGGCGAAGGTGAGCAAACATGGAGTTTGGTTTAGATCAGAGCAAAGCAAACCCCCTCCCCCCTTCTCTCCCCTTTACATGCGCTCCAATTATCTCTCCCCCCACCCCTCTTCTCTCTCCCTCTCCCACCTCTTCTCTCCCTCTCTCCCCCCTTCGCTCCCTCTCTCCCCCCTTCGCTCCCCCTCTCCCCCCTTCGCTCCCTCCCCTTCTCTCCCCTTACCCTCTGCTCTCCCTCTCCCTGCTCTTCTCTCCCCTTCTCCCCGCTTCTCACTCTCTTGCTCCCCCTTCTCTCCCCCTCTTCTCTCCCCCCTTCCTCGTAAGAGGCGCTGTGTAAATGCAATTTGTTTGTACAGGAGTTCAGTGTGTGTATTGCACTCGTGTCACAGTCAAGGCAGCTCAGTGTGTTACTCACCAGTCCTCATCGTCGCTGCTCTTGGGCCTGAACCTTTCCCTCATGTTGACAGTCAAGAGTTTGTCGTCTGTGGACAGGGTGGGACCGGGCAGGTTGTAGAGCGGATGTTCAAACAGGGCTGCAAGCTTGGATCCCTTGTAGGTGGGAGCCGCTCTCTGGGGCTCGCGAGAGAGGTCCTCATAGAGCCTGGTACGCCTGGCATCTGAAGCTGGTACCTGGAGAGGTCGGCTGGCATCACTGGCTCTATCCAGGAGCTGTGAAGCATGACTGGACAACGACTTGCTGGCAAAGCTCTGGAGCTCCCTGTTGGTCGGGGATTTACCCGCCAGTGCCTCCCTGGCTCGAGCCTCTGGAACTGGGATCGGCTGGACATACCCGAGCCCTCCGCAGCCGCTCTGTGGCAATCTCAGGTCCCTCAAGACGAGTAGGGCGATCAGCAACTGAACCGCAAAGCTGGTGAGAACCAGGATCAATATCAACACCTTTGATTTCCACAGAATGACAATCGACATGTTGCGGCACATCTCCCGACAAGTCACTGAGGGGAGGGAGGGAGGGAGGGAGAGAGGGAGGGGAGTAGGAAAGTCAGGTAGTTGATTTCACGGACCCAACCAGAAGCTATAATTTTGACGTTCGCTCAACCAACAGCCGTGGGTCACTGCAACTTCTTATCAAACTGCAAACATCAACTCAGCCAACTGTCCCCACTTGACAGCTCAGCTGGAAACCTGTCATGATAACAAGTAAAACAACCCGATTGCAAATCACAGAATCCTAGAACCTTACCAGCACAGAAGGAGGCCATTCGGCCCATCGTGCCTGTGCCGGCTCTTTGGAAGAGCTGCCCAATCAGTCCCACTCCCCCGCTCTTTCCCCCAATTTTTCCTCTTCCAATCAATCCAATCAATTCCCTTTTGAATTGGTTTCCACCGACCCTTTCAGGCAGTGCGTTCCAAACCGTAACAACTCTCTGGGTCAGAAAATTTCTTCTTGTTGCCCCTCTGGTTCTTTTGCCAATTATCCTACATGCCCTGGTTACTGACCCACCTACCCACCGGTGGAAACAGTTTCTCCCTATCTACTTTATCGAAACCCCTCATAATTTTGAACACTTCTATTAAATCCTGCCTTAACCTTCTCTGCTCTAAGGAGAACAATCCCAGCTTCTCTAGTCTCTTCACATAACGAAAGTCCTTCATCCCTGGTACCCATCTAGTTGAAGCCCATTCCCTTTCCCGCACCGTGGCAGGGACATTTTAAAAAAAGTCGGTAAAATGTTCGACCTTGTATCGATTGATTAGGTTCACGGGTACAATCGCTGGTCAGATTGACCCAGAGAATATGACATGCTTTCTCCTTCCAAATTGCTGACGCTGCTATGTCTATGTCTGTAAAGCAATTAAGAGATTAAGTGCTTGTAGCATCTGATAAAATTAGACATCTTTTACCTGCATTTCCCCGCTATTTTCTCTATACCCTATGTCAGGGTGGTTCAAAAGGTTGGATGTCCCTGCTCTAAATTCGACCCCCTTCAAACTCTGACCATTGGTAAGGACATGCTCTGTGGTTCAGTCCTTGAAGAAAGGCCAATAGGCAATATGGCTCCAAGATCCATTCCTTCAACTGCTGAAGACCCAGGTTCGATTCCCGGGCAAGGCAAAACGTTGGGCGAGTTTCCTTACTCCACACACCTGTTTACCCAGCAGTTATTTGGAACCCACTTGTTAGTCAATTGGTGGATCACTTTTCTGGGGGAAACAATCCCTTAATTTTTTTTTAAAAAAAACGACTGTTTGTGGGTTGCTGTTGTGCGCAATTGGTTGCAGCATTAAATCCTGTATTTGCCACAAATATTGTGTAGATGCTGCCTGACCCACTGACTGCTCCCAGCGACTTCTGTTTTTATTTCAGGTTTCCAGCATCTGCAGTATTTTGCCTTTTGTGTCTAGGTTTTCAGTGTTTGGTTTCATTGCGTTGTTTCTTGTCTGTTCTGTCCCCCAGGAGTTTGTTGGCGTCCTGAGCCAGGCCACTTACAGCTGTTTCTGTTGCAGTTTCCCCCAGTCTTGGTTGCAGTTCGGCCAAAACTATTTCAAAACTGAACTGTGTGATTTGGTGTACCAGTGGGTTGGAGGTGAGGAAGCACGCGTGCGTGTGTGTGCGTGCATGTGCGCGCATGCTTATACGAGGAAGGATTCAGCTTAGCTAAATTGGTAGCACTCTTGTCTCTGTGTCGGAAACATAGGCAGCGGGTTGCTGCGACTAGAGATCAGACATCTCCCCACCCCCCCATCTCTCTATAGCTTCATCTGTTAAAGGGAAGGTGAGCCGTAGACAGCTACGCAAACGCTGATAGATCTCTCTATCAGTTTAGACCAGGGTGATACAACTGGTGGCCCGCGGGCCGCATCCGGCCCTCAGCAACCAAATGTAGGACCACCCTGGCTTAGATAATGTAATTCCAAATCCCAATGTGGGGGCTTGAACCTACACCCTTCTGATTCAGAGGTGAGAGTGAACCAGGCTGTGTGTGGATATCGAGTGAGAACAGCATCAGGTTCAGCTGTGAAGTAATGCCCTCTATAGTCAGACAACAGTCATCTACTGGGATCCTACTTGAAGAATGGCCATGTGGCTGAGATACCAGAGGGTGCCGGTGGACCTATCCCCCAGACTCAGTTATTGTCCTCAGAAAAGTAATGGTGTAATATTGTCACATCTGTCCACACTCCCTGCTCAGACAGGCATCTGTTGCACGCAGCCTCACTCGCTGTTATCTTGGCCAGGAATCCCTCCGATTGCAGGAATCTTTCAGACCTGGAATTGCGATATTTTGGAACCAGTGGAGCTGAAGGAAACCAAATCGGTAACAAAGGAGAGCAGGCGAAGCAGGAAAGGCAAGCGGGGCAGGGGGAGGAAATGACGGGACCAGGGGTCAAGCGCTGATTATTATTATATGTATTATTGTAATAGGGAAAGTGTAAGTGGGTGTGAGTGGGAATTTAAGAAATATTAAAGTGCATTCTAGTTATAATGGACTGAAACGTCCCTAAGCACTAACTTATGGTGCTCTCATTATTTTAATATCAGATACGTGCATTAAGTGAGCAACTGATATCATAATTACTCTCATAATGTTTAAGGGAGATTGTGGAGCACTTTGAGACATCCTCCTGACATTGAAATAATATCTTATCTCATTCCAGCAATGCACGGGATTGCAGAGATAGATGGACTGTGTTTTGATAGACCACTTCATCTGGGATTGTCCTGGCTAAATTAATCTGTTTCCCACAGGGTTTTCTGTGTCTTTATTTGGTCCTGTTAGTGACAATAACCTAAGGAGTGGATCAGCCTCTTTCATCAACTCAGCAAGCAGTAGTAGGAGACGCAAGAGAATCTTGCCAGGCAGCAGGGTGAGGAAGGAATAAAGATTAAATTGTCTGTGCTAAGTCCCTTGGTTGCTGTTGTTTTCAAGATCCTTGTTCAAGATCCTCTCACTTGTCTACAAATCCTTACAAACCTGACACCTCCCTATAGCTTTCTGACCTGCTTACTCCCCATCCCACCACCCACTGCCTCTGCTCGGTTGGCTCCGGCCTCCTGCTTGTCCCTCGTCCCCTCCACTCTGCCATTGGTGGCTGCGCTTTCAACCACTACACCCCGAAGCTTTGGAACTTCCTCCCCAATCCCCCTGCTTTGCCCCTCCTTATCCTCTTTTAGATCACATCTGAAGACCTTCATCTTTGACCTCGCGTACAGTCACCTCCTACCTCTCCCTGGCTCAGCGTCATGCTCCGTCACTGTTAAACGCTCTGAGACTCTTCCCCACATGAAGGGAGCAATATAAATGTGAGTTCTTGGTGTTGCCGTCGTGGCATCCCGCAGACAAGAACTCAGAGGCCAATTAATTTGATTTAGGGGGTAATTTTGGGGTCAGGAGGAGAATATGAGCCAGGATACCTGGGAGAAAGACTGATGACCCCATTTCAGATGCCACATTTGCCAGCAGAGCCTCAAGCAGTAGTTTCCTAGCCAAGAATCCTCCAGATAACCGGTTACTCACCTCACAGCTATTTGTGGCATTTTGCAAAATGGCTGTCCCATTCGTTTCGATAAAAAACGTCACTAATTACATCTCACGGTAATTATGATAAAGCAAGTTGAGCGTTTCAATGCGATAAAATGCTATAAAAAGGTATGTTTTTTTCTTAGAATGAATTGATAAACCTCACATAAGTTGTAGCAGTTGGAATCATACATTTAATATGACTTATAACGTACATAAGATATAATACAATCAATTCACTTATACATTTAATATGACTTATAACGTACATAAGATATAATACAATCAATTCACTAAGTGCTTAAAGACGTGATAAGGCGCTATATCAAATGCAAGGATATTTATTATATAAACTCTTGAACAGGACTTAGGCAATTATACAATTTGTACAAATCAGACTTGTGCGAGTTTTACTGTGGTTTGCTTCTGATGTTCAACCCTTAAAATCAAATGACCTCTTTTCAGGTTCAGACCCCCCGAGGTACAAAAATCCCATCCAACGACCTGTTTGGAAAAATGATTGACAACGATCTCTGTCCGGTTTATAACAATTCTTCATTCATCATCACTTCTGGTGAGTTGTACGTGGGTTAGTGTCAGTGTGCCCCCTCCCTCGCCTCCTTCCAGGCCTGTCTCAAGCCCCTCCTCTTCGATCACGCCTTTGGTCACCCTCCTACCCCAACCCTCCCCGCCCTCCACCTCTCCTGATCCCAAGCACCAGATCGGGTCCAGATACCTGACTGTCCCCATCGTTCATAGGGACGGGGTGAGGCGGAACTCCGGGATGGAGTTAGAGAGAGCATCTCAAAGTGCTTTGCAGGATACACTATAAAGTGTGGTGACTGTGTTTTTTTTTGCAGGCTGAGAAGGAAGATGGTATCACACAGCTGGTGGGACTAACCACTCACTCGTACACATGTGGGGGTGGGACAAGTGAGTATATACACCCAACCGCCTCCCCCCACCACCACCTTCGTGATGAGCGGACTGAAGTCCCAACCCACTCGCTCCCCCACCCCCCCGCACCAGCCACCCCTTTGCCGGTACCGGGCGAGATGAAGAAGGTTTTCTCCAGCTTGCGATCGCTGGTGATCTCTCGGATCTCCTTCACCATGTTGACAAGGCGGCCTGCCACCGGTGGAATACGCCGGAAGTCCAGGATCCTGTCAGAATAGAGAGGAGACGGGAGCTCAGAGCGCACCTGGCCTTGGGTCGGCCCCCCCACCCCCAATCACCTCCCTACCGCTCTCTCCCACCTACTTACATCCCAACCCACTACCCACTACCTCCGCTCGACTGGCTCCGGCCTCCTGCTTGTCCCTTGTGCCCCCCGTTCCATCATCAGCAGCCGCGCTTTCAGCCACTACGCAACGAAACTCTGTCACGCTCTCCCTCAATCCCCCCGCTCTCCCAACGTTTCACTCCAGTCCGGGAAGCGAACCCAGGTTCTTTCGCTTGCGAGGCGAGTGCTCTAACCACTGAGCTACGGGACTCCACAAATCCACCAGCTCCCGAATTAAGCACAGGATCCGGATTTGGATCCAGGAAGACTTCTGTGTTGTGGAACTCTACCTCAGCAAGTCCTGGAGTTAAGGATGAATGCATAACGGATACAGAGAATGAGTCGCAAATCCTGAAGCCAAGAGGGAAAAGGAACAAGCAAACTGTCTCAGGATGAGATCAATAGGCTACCTAGCCTGATCAAAGCTCCTTTGAAGTCAGAGGATGTTGACAAGACACTGTTTGGGTATAAACATCCCAATTTATATCAGCACCAAAGAAGATTTAAAAAAAGATGATGCTAAATAGAGAGGCATAAAATATGCTTGTGGGAACTTGTGCCTAAATGGTCAATAGGAACATTCGCCTCACTATTCAAGGAATATCTGAGAAGCATTACAGATAATAATAAACCTTGCATTGATATAGCGCCTTTGGGACGTCTCAAAGCACTTCACAGGATACACTGCAAAGTGAAATGAGTGTGTATTTGTGGGCGAAGTGAAGCAACCAATTGCACACAGCGACGTCCCCACAAACAGCCGTGGATTGAGTGACCAAATTATTCTTTTATATTAAAGGGATTATTACCCCCGGAAAAGCGATCCGCAAATCAACTAACAGCCGGGTTCATATTTACTGCTGGGTAAACAGAGGCGCGCGCGCGTGTGTGTGTGTGTGTGTGTCTCTGTGTGTCTGTGTGTGTCTGTGTGTCTGTGTGTGTGTGTGCGCGTGTGGAGTAAGGAAACTTGCCCAACATTTCGCCCCCTGCCCGGGAATTGAACCGGGGTCCTCTCACTTGCGAGGTGAGGGGTCTAATCCCTGAGCTCCAGGGACTCCACTGACCCGGGGGTTGGGGGAGGGGAGGTGACGTTAGCACGGTCGAAGAGGAAGGTCGTCAGGCGCGACCTGAAGATGGGGAAAGAGTTAGAGAGTGACAGAGTTTTGGGGCGCAGTGGCTGAAAGTGAGGCCACTGATGGTGGAACAGAGGGGGAAGGAGGGGTCGTGGCGGAGGTGGAGGAAAGCTGTCCTGGTCAGGGACCGGGTGTGGGGTAAGAAGTGTTCTGGCAAACAATCCTCAAGACTGGAATGGAGCAGAGATGAGTGGGGTATGTGTGTGGGGGGGGGGAGAGAGTGTGGGGGTGGGGCGGCACAGTGACCGTTTACCTGTCCAGGTGAAAGGCAGCAATCTCAGCCGTATGACGCTCAAAATCAGAGAAGTAGAAGAGATCGCCAGACGTTTCCTGTTCCCGGGTCTGCCTGTGAGAGAGAGAGAGAGAGAGAGAGAGAGTAAAAACAGTCACTAACACACTCCAGAACCTCTCACAGCTCCTCACACGGGTGATTTCAAGCGCTCTAGACGCCATCGATTCCTGGGAGTTTCCTCACTCCACACGCCTCTGGTTACCTCGCAGTAAGTTGGAACCCTGTTGTTAGTCAATTGTTGGATCACTTTTCCGGTGATAATAATCCCTTCCAAAAAAAAGTGTGAATGGCGCTATAATAATAATCCTTGTATTTGATACAGTGCCTTATCACATCTTCGAGACGCCTTAATTTTCCAACAATCCTTTCTGCCTGAGAACAGACTTGATTCTTTTCCCAGACTTTTTTTTTTGTGTGGTCAAACATATTTGAGCCAAGTGCTAAGTGGTGGCTAAATATAGAAATAATCCTCGCCTTTGATACAGCCCCATATCACATCTTCGAGACGTCTCAAAGCACTTCACGGGACACACTGTAAAATATAGTGACGGTATATTTTGTGGGCAAAATGCGGTAGCCAATTGCGCACAGCAGCGTCCAGAAACAGTCATGGATTGAGTGACTAAAATTATTATTTTTTTTCGGAAGGGATTACTGTCACCGGAAAAATGAACCAACAATCGACTAACAACAGGGTTCCAACTTACCGCGAGGTAACCAGCGGCGTGTGGAGTGAGGAAACCGGGAATCAAAGCCAGAGGGAGGTGGGAGATGACCGTAAGCACGATCAAAATAATAATAATAATCCTTGCATTTGATATAGCGCTTTTCACGTCGGGAGGACGTCCCAAAGCGCTTCACAGAACACACTGTAAAGTGAATTGACTGTATATTTGTGGGCGAAACGCGGCAGCCAATTGCGCACAGCAATGTCCCACAAACAGTCGTAGATTGAAAATGACCAATTTATTATTGTTTTTGGTAAAAGGAAAGTCTTTAGGTGGGATTTGAAAGTGGGGGCGGGAGGGAGAGGGCAAAGTGGAGGGGTTGAGGGAGAGAGTTTCAGAGTTTCAGGAATAACACTCTTTGGCAAACGCCGGATGTAGGGCATGAAAGAGAGCTTCAGAATGGGCAAAGATTGCACACTGTCGCTGTGAGCTGGAGGAGTAATCAGGAAGGCGATAGGGTCAGTGTCGGACAGGGGGCAGTGTGAGGGTTAGGGCTCAGGGCGGGGACGAGGTTTGAGTCTCACTCACTGACTTACTTCATTGGTTTAAACAGGACTTTGCCATAGTTCTCGAGCGTCATCACCAGTTTCAGCTGCGTCCCACCGTGCTTCTGAGCTGAAATAGAGCAGGACTTGACAAGCTGAGACCACAACTAGATCCACATAAGGATTCACTAGCACAGCAGTGGGAGAGGGCAAGACGCTATTTGAAAAGAGAAGGGAGTTTTTCTCTCTCTCTCGGTGTCCTGGCCAACAATCCCCCAAATAAAATCGGTCACTCACTCCACGGCTGTTTGTGGGACGCCGATGTGCGCAAAAGGATCCCGTGTTTCACCCACAAAACACACAGTCACTTCACTTTACAGTGTGTCCTGTGAAGCGCTTTGAGACGTCTCAACGACGTGATAAGGCACCGTATTAAATGCCGGGATTATTGGAGCACATTGATGGTGGGACCGTGACACTCTCTGGCCGAACGTGGGTACTGCAGAATGCAGAACCTTGTCCTTGTATTTGACAGGTCAACCATAGACCATCTCCGTCGGTGACTGCTGCCAAGTGTAGTGACTGTGTCTTTGCAGGCAACTGCAGGAAGGTCCCACAGACGCACAAGAGGTAAGCGACCAATTTTAATTGGGTGATTGGAGGCGTGAAGCTTGGCAACTCTGACAGTGTTAGACGATTGGCAGATCACTTTCCAGGGAGTAATAATCTCTCAAAAAAAAACAGCTGTGGTTTGAAGCCCCCATGTCAGGATTTAAACTCACACAGTCTAAGCTGAGGCTCCAGTACAGCGCTGGAGGTGTGTTGCATTGTCGGAGGTGCCGTCCTTCGGATGAGATGTTAAAACCTCACCCCGTCTGCCGTTTTTTTCTCTCTCTCTCTCTCTCTCTCTGTGTCCTGGCCAATAATCCCCCAAATAAAATTGGTCACTCGCTCCATGGATGTTCATGAGACATTGCTGTGCGCAAATTGGCAGCCGCATCTCACCCACAAAATGTACAGTCACTCCACTTAACAGTACGGCGCTTTGAGACACCTTGACAACTTGATAAGGCGTATATCAAATGCAAGGATTTTGTATAATTCTAAGGTAACACCTGAAGTTGGAGTGTGACTAACAGGTAAGAAAAATGCATTTGATTTAGCGCCATATCAAGTCGTTGAGACGTCTCAAAGCGCTTCACAGAATATACTGTTAACTGAAGTGTCAGTCACTCCACATTACTGGGGAGTCCTGTAGCTCAGTAGTTACAGCACTCGCTTCGCAAGCGAGAGATCTGGGTTAGATTCCCAGAGGGCGAAATGTTGGGCAAGTTTCCTTACTACACACCCACACGCCTCTGTTTACCCAACAGTAAGTTAAGTAGGTATCCGGTTGTTAGTCGATTGGTGGATCGCTTTTCCAGGGGGTAAATAATCCCTTCAAAAATAAATAAATAATAATAATAAAAAATGGGTCACTTCAATCCAGGACTGTTTGTGGGACGCTGCTGTGTGCGATTGGCTACCAATGATATACATCGATATATAATGCTATATTCTCACCAACCCTGACGATCTTCATGGTCCCGAGTTCCTGCAGTAAGGTCTCGATGTGGGGATTGTGGCGCGAGTACAGCTCATAGCGGTTGATCCC